TTGCATGATAGGAGTCTCAGAAGCAAAAGGGAGAGAAAAGGGGGGGGTGGAAGTACTTTATTTTAAGAAATATTAGCAGAAATCTTCCATAATCCTGGAAGAAAACAGACCTCCAGATCCAGGAATATCAAAATAGATAAAAACAAAAAAATAAAAAAACTATATGCTGCCTCTAAGGACTCATTTAGACATAGAAACACCTGCAAGTTGTTTTCTTAGAAAAGAAACAGGTTGTTTTCCACTGCTCCCCAGTGGATTTCTTTTCTAAGTTATTTGATTTCTTAGGATATCATTGTATATGTAGTTGAAGCATTACCAATTTTGTTATTTTTCTTGTTACATGGGCATTACTTTCAATGTTATGTTACCTTTTTATTCTGGTCTCTGTTTCATTTATTTCTGATGTTTCCTTCTAAATAAAATAATTTCAGATTTTGCTTTGTAATTTCTTCCTCTACTAAATTTCAGCTAACAGACTTCCTTTTCTAGTTCCTTTTGGTGTAATGTTGTTAATTTCAATGTTTTCCTTAACTGAAGCATTTATGGCATTAAAAAATAGAAAACTCAAAAGCAGTAGAAAACCTAGCAGAAATAACTCAAGCGATGACCAAAATAATACAAAATAAAAATAAGGATCCTTTAGGGTTTTCTATAGATCGTATCATCTGTGAACAGAGATAAGATTTTTAGGAGTTTGTAGCCTTCTTTACAGTAGTTATTCCTTTCATTTGGTAACCTGGTAATGCTGGTACCACAGAGAGTATTTTCATATTTTCCCTTATCTTCACTCCTTGGAAATACTCAAGGAGAGTTTAAGTACTTTCTCGTGAAATGCTTGTTTGAATGATCCACTGAATTTATCGGACATAGCAGCTTTCCTTGTTTAGAGTTAGTTTGTTTTTTTGTTTGTATTTGTTTAAATTACTCTTTGAATCTACTTACTACTCAGCAATAGTGATTTTTTGTTGTTGTTGTTTTCATGATGGAGTATAGGTGGTTGTACCTTATTTGAATTCATTATCCTCTGTTGGTATCAATTTGTGGGCATATAATTATCCATTGTTGCCTCTTTTATTCATTTTATTTCAACAGTATCAGTGATAACATGTCTGCTTTCACTTCACTGCTGCTTTAGTTGGTCGTTTCTCTTTCATTCTGACTTGATTGAAAGGTCTATCAATTTTGTTCATTTTTTTTCTCAAAGCCAATGCTTCCTCTGGTTGCTGTGGTCTTAGTTTTACTGTATGCTATTTTGTTGATTTCAGTTTTATGTTTAAGTTTCCTTCTGTGGTGATTTTGGGCTCATGTGGTAGTTTTCCTGATCATTCAAGGTATAAGAAAATGATTTCTACTATAGCATGACAGTACTACAGAATTATCTATTAGGACATATGGTCAGTATGTTGCATGCAACTTTATGTGTCCATGAAGGAATGAAGTCCTGATGATTCCTTCTCAAACATTTAGTCGTTGTTTTCTGATTGATTCTAAG